TCAATTAATGTATGAATGTGGGAGAGAGAAGGTGTATTGGTCACAATTGTGTTCAGCTACAAATGCCAAAAATCCTGACTGTAGAGGCTTAAACAAAATGGGGTTTACTTTTCTCAAATGACAAAAATGGAGGCACTTGCTGGCAATGGCTCAGCAGCTCAGCAATGTCTCTGCATTTGTTTTGCCTTTTCCTCATGGTCACAAGATGAACGTTGTGGCTCCTGCCATCACATTCATGTTTGAGGAAGGAAGGAATGAGAGGCAAGACAAAGCACCAGCACTGTTGGCCTCTTTTGTCAGGAGAAGTAAGACCCTTCCCAGAACCCCAGCCGACTTCTGCTCACTTCTCATTGGCCCAAACTGGGTCACATGGCCACCTCCAGCTATAAGGGAAAACAAGTATCTAACCTGATGCTGGAAGAACAAAATCACAGTTTTGTTAGCAAGAAAGAAGGTCGGGGCGGTGGGGGAAGAGGACTAAGGGAGTGGGGGTGAGGAGAGTGGGTCTGGTTAGGCAACTAACACAGGGCTTCCTAAAGGAGGTGCGATTTGAGCTGTGCCTGGAAGGTCAGATACCATGTTGGCAACAGGAAAGAATGGGCTAGGTGGAAGTCTGAAAGCCTAACAATGCGGGGTGTGACCAGGGACTGCCGACTGACCGAGACAGCTGGAGCAGGAGAGAGAGAGGACCAACGTGGTGAATTTTTGGTGTATTTGGCATCACCCGGCAGCTCTCTTTCCCCCGTATGGTTCTAAATCTCTTCCTCCACTCCTGAAATTCCACCGTTAGAGACTAACTCAGCCAATGAATGAACGCGCTGGACATCTGCTATGTACAGAGAGTCCTTTTCAAAACGTAGACGTGTCCCGGAGGCTTTTGGGGGGGGGGGGCGGGGGGGGCGGCGGTCAAGTCATCCACACCTGAATATTGTTAGTTTTATTGGCTAGTAACTTCCTAATGCCTAACTGAATTCTGCCCTGAGAAATGGGGATGTCTTTTAAAGATTGGCACCTGAGCTAACATCTGTTTCCAATCTTCTTTTCTTCATCTTCTTCCCAAGGCCCCCCAGTACCTAGTTGTATGTTCTAGCTGTAGGTTTTTCTACTTGTGCTATGTGGGATGCGGCCTCAGCATGGCCTGATGAGCGGTGCTAGACTGGGGTCCAGGATCCAAACTGGTGAAAGCCTGGGCCGCCGAAGCAGAGCACACAAACTTCAACACTGGGCCACGGGGCTAGCCCCAGAAATGGGGATTTTTATTCTAGAATGGGGTGATGGAGCCAGGGACCTAGGAGAAGAGGAGTGAGCCGGGCTGGGGCTGGACCCTGAATGTCCCAGGGTAACAGGAGTCTGTAGAAGAGGGAGCCCACGCTCTCTGGGCCCTGCTGAGGGCGGGACCGGCCATCCTTCCTCCCTTAGGTGCTGCCATCGCCAGTTCACAAGTGAGGTAGCTGGAGCTTAGAGAAAGGGACTGCCCTGCCCAAGGTCCTCTCCTGCACAGGTGACAGAAGCAGGGTTGGACCCTGGCCAGTCTGAGGCTGTCTTGCTGCCGTCCCTGTGGTAATAATGATCATTGTCTCAGCTGGCAGTTAGTTAACACTTGCTCTACACCAAGCATTGCTCTTAATGCTTTATGTGTTCCACTTTGTGCCATTTTTACAGCAATACTATGAGGTAAGCACTATTATTGTTCCCATTTTACAGATGAGGAGCTGAGGCACAGCAAGGGGTTAAGTAACGTGCCCAACACCCATAGCTCGAAGGGTCAATAGGATTCAAACCCAGGCGGTCTGGCTCTGAGGCACAGGGAAGGTCACGGCCTCGCCAAGGTCTTGTGGTGGATTACGTGCAGATTCTTTGGACCCGTGGTTCTCAAGTCCCCCGTCCCCAGGGGACACTTGGTAATATCTGGAGACATTTTTGATTGTCACAACTAGAGTGGGTGCTATGGGCATCTAGTGGGGATGCTGCTAAATACCTCACAATGCACACAACAACAGAAAACCATCCAGTCCCAAATGTCAGGAGTGCTGAGGTAGAGAACGCTGGTCTAACGTAGTCAGAGACCAAGGCATCTGCCTCCTCTCGGCATCAAGGCTCCAGAGCTGGGAGGCACAGCTTGGCTAAGCTGCTGGAACAGAGACCAAACGCGGGGCCCAAATAAGAGGGAGGCACACTTCCTGTGCAGGAGCCAGCCAGGGCCAGGCCCAGGTGGCGGCTGCTCTGTGCGCAAGGTCTGGCACGCCCAGGCCTTCTGCTGTGCTGCTCAGGGAATCCCTGGGTGTCTGCTGGGTTTGCACGGTGGAGGTTGGTTTACCACCCCCGTGTCTGCATTCCAGCGTAGGAAGAGCAGGAAAGAGGGAGTAGAAATCAAACAGAAGTTGGTGTCCCACAGCTGGAACTGGGTTGTACGACTCGTGAGAGCCACTTGTTAAATCTTCAGGAATTTGGGGAGCCGGTTGTTAAATACAGCCATTATTAAATTAACATACAATTAAATAAATTTCATTGAAAATAAAGTTGATCAGCATTCAAAATGCTTCACTTCCTGATTTATTTTGCTGCGTTCTGCTCTCACCCAGGCCCCTGAGACACATCTGCTGTGTCCGTGTGGTGGGAACGCTGAACAATGCTGCGTGCTGCCGCACAGCTCTTCCCACCTCTGCACTCTGTGACGTCACGTGGCAGCTTGAAGTCAGTCACGGGAGTATTCACACCGCAGAAATCAGTACACTACACATCAGAGCTTGGCAGTTTGCTTTGTTGATTGTCTAAACTTAGGAAAGAGACTAAGAAAATGTTAATAATGCAGATTAAACCTAAAACTGCATTGCACCTGTAGCCATTACATTGTATAAAAGTTGAGAAAATATTCTTTCAGAATTTTTTAAATTTTATTATGATTTTTTTAACTTCCTTTTTTTGGTAGGCAGATTGGCCCTGAGCTAACATCTGTTGCCAATCTTCCCCTTTATTTTGTTTTTTTCTTCCCAAAGCCCCAGTACATAGTTGTATTCTAGTTGTATGTCCTCCTAGTTCTTCTGTGTGGGATGCTGCCACAGCATGGCTTGATGAGTGGTGTGCAGGTCCACACCCAGGATCCGAACCAGCAAACCCCAGGCCGCCAAAGTGGAGCGCATGAACTTAACCACTACGCCACTGGGCCGGCCTCTATTCCAGAATTTTTAAATGTTATTCAGTACAGCAGAGAAGTTGCTCTCATCACTGACAAACTATGGTAATGAATGCCTTCACTGTTCTACTTTGTCTTGCTCCTTAATGTAAAAGAAATTATCAGCCAACACTCATGTCGGAAGTTCTCTCCTTCATCAATGATGTGAGCAATTTCTTTGCTGAATTTGGTAGTTATCAAGCATTTATTTTTAGTCTGATTTTGCGACACTATTGTTGGCAACAGATATATAAAAACTGATAGTGGATTTTTTAAGAAATTCCAAGTCACACTGAAGATATAGGTGTATGGAATTCATAATAAAGAGTATCGTATGCTCTGTTCTTTGTAAAGTGTGTGCTATACATTCTTTACATCAGTAAAATTTATAGCAAACATATGTGTGTGTATACATTTTCCCCCAAAGAGCCATTAGGCATGTATCAGCACATCCCCACACACATCCCGTCCACCCACATCCCACTGGCAGAAACAGAGCCACATGGCCACACCTAGCTTCAGGGGATGCTGGGAAATATAGTCTTGAGCTCGGTGACCATGTGCCCCTTTGAGGGGCAGCCCTACCATGGCAACACCAGGTATTTTCCCCAGGGGAGGGTGCCAACTCCCTCCTTGTGGCCTCACCTGGCAGCTCGCCTCCAGAGTTTCCTCCAGCTCCCTCTCAGAATTTCAGGACAGCACAGAGTACAGCATCTTGAAGGGACAGATTCCCACACCACCCTCTGCACCTTCCAGTGCGTGCTCCCTGCCCTCACCTTCACTGTTTGCAGCGGTAACCCTGACAACAGTTCCAGAAGGGCCTTCGAGCCGCTGTGTGCCCCAGACCAGCGTTTCGGAGTGCTTTAAATAGAATACGGGTTTCAGAGTCCCAACTTGTGCAAGTCGCTTCATCTCTTTAAGCCTCAGTTTCCTCTTCTGTAAAATGGGGATAACAAAACTCACCTTGCAGGGTTATTGGAAGGATCAAATGAAATAATCTTTTGAGAAGTTTTGTTGTCTAGAAACTACAATTCACATTTGAGGAGTAATTAATCCTAGTTCCTACCTCACTGGTTTGTGCTCAGGCTCAGGTGGGAGTCTGAACACATAGCCCTTTGTAAAGCTGCTAAGTCCCATACTGATAAAAGGTGGCATATTACATTTTTAAGTAATGAAAAATTATGGGTGGTTTTATTATAATAAAAGCAGTACTGTTAAAAATTTAGAAAACCTAAAGTAAAAATAAGAAAATAGAAATACTCATAATATCACTGCCTGGAGATAACCACTATTTATATTTCGATGTAGTTCCAACAATCATTAACTCAGGTCATGTTTGTTTGATTTGAGTCCCCACCTATGCTCTCCACCCCGCAACAAGATTATTTTGAAGACATCACATAATTTTATCATAAATATTCCAGTATTTATCTCTAAATTTAAAGATACTTTAAATAAATACGTCAATATAAGGATCACACCTAAAAGATAAATACTCTGGTGGAGAATGCTGATAATGGGGGAGGCTATGCGTGTTTGGGGGTAAGCAGTGTGGGAAATCTCTGTACATTTCACTCAGTTTTCCTGTGAATCTAAAACTGCTCTAAAACCTGAAGTCTATTTAAAAAAATTAAAAGTCCTTAATATTATCAAAAGATGATCATTATTCAAATTTCTCTAATTGTGTCTTTCTTTCTTTATAAATTGTTTTCCTCATTCTTTTTGAATATTGGGTGTTTTGCCTTTTTCTTATTTATTTGCCAAGTTTTTATATATTAAGGATATTAACCACAGTGATATTAATTACTTACTATTGTTATTCCTCCAGGGACGGCCATGGAGACTTCAGGATCCTCCGCCCAGACTCAAGACCACAGTGAAATCCACAGAGAAACAGAGGATCTAGACGGTATGTTTGCCTTCTCTGACCCTCTGGGCACAGCCACATGGGAGGTGAAGTCCAGCAGTGGGTAGAACAGAAGAAGACCCTGCTCAGCTCATGTGGCACAGTGGCTCAAGTCACAGTCCAAACCGCTAGGGGAGTAGCGATTTTATACACACACACATATCCACGTATGTGCTTGGTCAGCCTCTCCCCCAGCACTTTCTATCTGTGGGGACCCTCAGTCGTTCTCCAAATCTCAAGGAGGCTCTGGGGGCTTCATATTCATCTCTGGGCTTCATATTCAGAGTAACTTCTGCCTTGGGCCTTTCTAGAGCTCTGCAGCCTCTGAGAGCCCTGGTCTCCTGCACCTTCCATTGGCCCTAGGTGTTTGGGAAGAGTATCCCAGAAACTCCAGGCCCTTCTGGCCCCCTAAGTCCAAGTAGACCCCTGGGGAGGCCTGGGTGGTCCCTGGGGTGGAAGGGTGGGAAACACTCGTCCTTGCCTATGTGTGCCTTCCAGACGGAGAGACGGATTTCCACAGGCAGGACCGGGAGGCCGGACTCCTTTCTCAAGAAGGATATAAGAGAGACAAGGCCTCTTCTTCCTCTTCATCCTCCTCCTCCTCTTCCTCCTCGTCATCCTCCTCCGCCTCAGGTATAGCAAAGATTAAAAAAAAATCTATGTATCTATATATCTCACAGTGTTATTCAAGAAAAGCATTTACATGGAAAGCAGTCCCCCATAATCTCCCACCTTGACGCTTCAATTCTATTTTTCCATAGTCCCTTCCAGAGCCCACCTATTTGTACACATAACTTGTACACAGTTATAATTGACCATATAGACAATTCTGGCCTCTGTTTAAATTTTTTTGCTATCTTATCCTAAGCATTTTGCCACATTATTCTGTAATATCTTTGCAGCTATTTTTCATGCTTACTGAATAGCCCCTCAAGTGGCTGCATGGCGTGTAAAGTAACATTTAGGTTTATCAGGGGTGTTCTGGTGCCGGCGTCAGTGCACCTGTGTGTTTAAGCAGCCTGCCTAGATTCAAATCCCTTCTTTGCCACTAACTAGCTACGTGTCCTTGGGCAAATCGCTAAACCCTGTATGCCTCGGGGTCCTTGTCTATAAGATGAGAGTGATAGCAAAAGTTGTTACTTCATGGGATTATTGTTAGGACTACATTCTTTACATGTGTAAAGTCTTAGCACCGAGCGCAAATAACTGTTATTGTTAAGATCCCCCCTGCTCACCACCAGTTTATCGCGCTCGTGAACATCCTTGCTCAAAAGCTTTTACTTTTTGAATTTTTTGCATAAACCATATCTTAATTACGGATTCCCCACTTTAGTGGGTTTTGAGGCATGGACACCTTAACAGGGTCTGGATTATAAATTGCCACATTACTCTCTGATAAAAAGCAAAATGTTCTTTCCCTTTATTCTTTAATTCAAAATGTAAGGCGGAATTTATAGCAGCAGCAGCAATGTCATAGCATTTATTGAGCACTTACTTTGTGCCAGGTACTGTCCCAAGCACTTTATGGGTCATCACTCATTTAATTCTCCTAGCGACACGCTGAAGAAGGTACTATGACTATTCCCGTTTTACAGGCAAGGAAACTGAGGCACAGACAGGCTAACTGACCCTCCGTAAGAGGGCTCAGTAAACAACTTGGGATTCCCTGGAGGTCTTTCTGGGACTAGGGCGGCTGAGGGGTGGGCTCTGGTTCACTCCTCCTCCACCAGAGCTCACGCACTACGATCTGTTTATGTAGCTGGCTGGGGCCTGAGATTTGATGAAAAAGATCTTGGGCTAAAAAAAAAAACATTGCTTGCAAAACTGTGGCTTTATGTCCTCATGTTGCAAATGGTGAGACTAAGGCTAAAGGCCACAAAATTCATGCATCTTTCAGCAGACAGAGGAGCAAGAGTGGTTGGTGGGTGCGGTGGATTTGTTTGTAGCCTGTCTCCTCACAGGACTGGAAAGGAAGCAACCGCCCCTATTAGAAAGTGCACAAACCTGTCCCCTGTGAGGACTAGCTCTGGAAGAAGAGCTTCCAGGTGCAGGGGCCACTTGCCTGTCCCTTGGTTTCTCCTTTCTGGGTGGGAGGGGACATTCTGTCTTCTCCTTCTGGTCGACACTCAGAGGGTGCTGCTCCCCACAAAATGTTCTCCTCCAAGTGTGGCCATAAGCCCCTTCCCTCTGGTCTCCCTAGCACACACGGGACTGGCTGTAGTTAGGAAACCAGACAGTAAGAGAAAGCAACAGGGAAATCAACACAGAAGCATAGAGACACACTGATATTCAGGATCCTGGTCTCTGATCCTAGCGTGGCTGGCCTGCTGCTAGGATTACCTACCTGCCCAGTCTTCAGGCTCGGATGGTGACCGTTAGCCCTCAAGGCCCCACGCCGGGCTGGGTACCTCACTGTAGCTCCCAGCCTTCCTCCACACACAGGACCCTAAGTCATAGTCTGGCATCCAGCACTGCTCTCCATACATATCTTTTTGTTCTTAGTGTATCTTGCCATTTTTTAATTAAAACTTTTTTATTATGAAAGATTACACATCGGCACATTGTTATAGAAAATGTGGAGCATATAAAGAAGTCGAAAGAAGGAAAAAATCATCCTTTGCTCTGTCACCCAGAGATAACCACCAAACACATATTAATGTATTTCCTTACATTTATTCAATAAATATTTATTGAGCACCAACTGTATGCCAGGCTCTGTGATGGATACTGGGGACACTAACAACAGTGACTCCTTCTGCCAGAGTTAATTTTTCAGATAATTGAATTAGAGAGTACCTACAAAAAAAGTCCTCATTTTAAACAGTTCTATAATATTAAACATTTTAAACACTCTATAATATCTCTTATAAAAATTATATATTTTGAATATATCATAGAGAAAACTAAAATAATGTTCATTCACATGTTGATGGAGGTTGTCTCTGGCTGATAGAATTTGGAGTAATTTTTGCTTTCTTTATTTTCTGTATTCGATATTTTGCAAAATATAATGAAAAAGTCTTTTTTTGGCATTGACTAATACTTGTAAAATACAAAAAAGACAAAAATAGCAGCCACCCGAAATCCTATCTCCTGAGATAAATACCACTGTCATTATCTTTTTTTAACCGTTTTTTTTAATTGGCACCTGAGCTAACAACTATCGCCAATCTTTTTTTTTCCTTCTTCTTCTCCCCAAAGCCCCCCAGTACATAGTTGTATATTCTAGTTGTGAGTGTCTCTGGCTGTGCTATGTGGGACGCCTCCTCAATGTGGCCTGACGATCGGTGCCATGTCCGCGCCCAGGATCCGAACCAGCAAAACCCTGGGCTGCCCAGGAGGAGCAAACGACCTTAACCACTTGTCCATGGGGCCGGCCCCCTGTTGTTATCTTGATGTGCTTCCTGATACCCCCTTCTCCATATCTAGCTGAGATCACATACACACTGATTTTTAAGCGCGGTTAGCCTGGTTTCCTGGAATTTTAAAATTTATCCATGATTGAGCAGGACGTCCCTAAATACACGGAGGAACATCTGCACAGCTGGGGCCATCTTAGTCGTCTGAGGAAAGGGAGTCCTCTGGACTTGGGGCCAGAAACTCCTAGGCCTGAATTCCTGGAATGCTGACTGGTCCAAGAGTGCAAACGACACGGTCATTCTTCAACTCCTGATCAGGCTCCCGCTCCAGGCTGGGCACCCTTGGGAGAGTGAGGACCCAGGCTTTGCCCTTTGGGAGCTCAAGGGGGTTGGAGAGACAAGCACCACAACCACTGACTGAGCCTCCCACCTACTGTGTCAAGCATGGCTAGTTGATGCCATAGAAACCCCAGAGGAGGGAGGGCAAGATCAGTGTGAGCTGGGGCTGTTGGACAAGCTTTTCTGCAGGAGGTATGATATCAGCTTAACCTTCAGAATAAGCTGAACCTTCAGGATAAGGGAGACCAATGGGAAGGGCATTCCAGGTGGGAGACAGCAGGAGCAAACACAGTCAGCCTGGCTTTTGGGGGATACAGAGATGACAGCCCTGCTCTGGGTGGGAGGGAAACCACCTCAGTAAAAAGACACCCACACGACCTTGTCTGATCTTCGTGAAAGTCTTATGAAAGCAGCCACAGGACTATTGAGTGATTTGTCCAAAGTCACGTAGAAAGTTCGTGGCAGAGCTCTTATCCTTCAACCCCCAAAGCAGAGCTCTCTTCCCCAGACCACACTGCTCACATAAACTAAATTCTGAGACTGAACACCAGAATGAGTGTATTCCAGGCTCTTTCCAGGCTGAGGTTCTCCTCCAGCTTGTGTTTGTTCTCTGCAGAGAGCAGGGATGAGGACCCTCACCCCAGAGGACCTGGAAAGCGACGGCAGAGCCGGGGGGCTGGACACCGCCACAGGGATGGCTCACCGGGTAGGCAGTGGTCCTTACCATCTCCCCTTTGCCCATGTGTCCCACTGTTGAGTTTCTCGATGGGACCGAGCGTGTGTGTGTGAAGGTGTTCCTTGCAGCATTGTTTACAGTGGGGCCACAACAGGAAACAACGTAATGTCCAACAATAGCAAAAGAGATCGATGATGCTACACCCTGTCCCAGGGAGAACTCTGTTCTTCGCTCACCTCCCAAGTGAAAAAGAAAGATGTCAGATCATATAATTAGTTTGAGCTCATATTATGAAAATTCACAAGTATGTGGTTATAAACAAGACTGGAAGGAAAAACATCAAAATGCTAATAGTTATCTCTGGATAGTTAAATTATGGGTGATTTTTATTTTCTCTTTTTTGAACTATCTGATACTATAAATATGTTACAATGAGCATGTTTTAATTTTACAACCGGAAGAACATTTTTGCAAAAAAATGATGATAAATTTCAGCCCAAATGGATTGTGGGAAGAAAAGAACATTGAGGAAAGAGCCTGGATTAATACCCAGTACAGACCCTGGCATACAAGGTGTTTAATAAATGCTGCCCACGAGGCTGGAGTGGACTCTAGGTTCTATTTCTGGGGATAAAAGTGATTAAGAACGCAGGCTCTGGCCACAGACGTGGGTTTGAACCCCAGAGTTGTCACTTACTGGCTTTGTGACCTTCTGGGAGTAATTTAACTTTGTGAGCCTCAGTTTCCTTATCTGTGAAATGGGGGAGGGAGAGGTACTAATACCTTCTTCGTAGGATTTCCATGAAGATTAAGTGAAATTTTAAACATAAATTGCTTTGGACAGTGTTGGCACATAGACAGTGCTCAATAAAGGGCAACTCTCGTTATTGACTTTGAATGAGGCCCAGTCCTCTCAGGACCCCCATTCTTTCTTAGTAAACTGAACACGATCACCCTTGGGTGTGCTGGGGGGAGTAAGAGACAGGGTAAAGGGAAAGCACTTGTAAGACTGTCTTGCCTCTTGAAGACTGCCCACCTCACCCCAGCACGAGGACAGTGCTACAGTTACAGGTGTGACAAGACTTCAGACACGTGGAGATGGCCGCTGTGGCCGGGAGAGCTGACTAACCGGGGTCGTCTCCACCCAGGTGCTGAGCCTGCAGAGCCTGATGTTTCGAAGGATGAGCTTCAACTCTATGGAGGTAATTGGCTGTCCAGTGACTTTGAAGAAAATAGAATTAGGACATGAGGGCTCAGGGCTTTGTTGGGCAGAAACGAGGTCATGAGGGTGTTTCATGCACTGAAAAGTTCCAGGGCAAATATAGGAGATGTGGAAAGGTGTGTGGTTATAACATTGGCAGATGGGGATGGGGGCAAATATTTCTACCATGGTGAGACTGTCCTGGATTCTCTTCCAAGCTATAACCTTGACTTGCGGGGTGACCTTGACAAGTCACCTTATCTTTCTGGGCATCAGCTTCCCAACCAGCAAAATGGGACACGATCAGTACCCTCTCTCTTGGAACACTGGGCAGTTTAAGCATGCAAGGGGAAATTAAAGATCTGATCTCTACAAAGCTCGCATAATGGAATAATTGTCTCCAAGCACCGTGATTATGATAGCAGGAGATATAAACATGGCTCTTTGCTTGGTAGCACTGTGATGACATGGGGAATTGTAGGAATGAACCAGTTCGCCAAAGAGCCTGACCAATGTACGCTGCCGGACAAGAAAACCTGTTTAACTTTGTTTAATCCAACATTTCTATAATCTACGTACTTTCCTAATGCCAGATAATAACCCAAGGAAAACAACAGGGAACACCTATGTACACATTCAAAGAAAAGTGAATGAAATAGTTTGATGTTTAAACACTGCCTCTGGGTGGCAGCATTGTGGCTGATCTTTATACTGTTTTATTTGCTTATCTGAATTTTCTGACTTTCTTTCTTTTTTTCTTTCTTTCTTTCTTTTTTTTGTTTACAAAAACAAGTATTACTTGGTTTAGAAAAATGTTTTTAATTACTCAAGGAGTGCAAGAAGGTTTTACTTGGTATAAAATGAGAGAGAGAAACTGTTACATTTATGTATATTTAAAAATGTTTTTTTCATCATAAAAGTAATTCGTATTCACTGGAGAAATGTAGATATCATCACTTATTTGTGAACTTGTGAACCCCAAGACATCGGAGGACTTAGTAAATTACACTGTTGGAGTCTCGTTTCCTGCCATTCTTGGTATGTCCTCTGTGTCCTCAGCACTGGCCACTCTGGTCACTTGTAGATGGTGTTTCCTGTTTGCACATCAGCCGGAAAGACAGTTCGGCACATTGTGCTTGCCGGGTGCTGAGGGCCCCCTCTGGTATTTGGGGGGAGGCTGACCTGATGGACAAGAAGTGGAGTGGAGTGGGGGCTCCTGGTAGTGGGATTACCAGGGGTCCTGGTTGCCCTTGAGGGGAAGGAGGTAGCAGGCTAGGAGAGAGGTCACCAGGACCTAGAATATGCATCAAGAACCAGAGGGTGAATGGGGTGGGAGGGCCACCTGAGACCCGATGAATGGGGGGACGGCCGGTATATGGGGCTCAACTCACCCTTGGCAGCCCAGACAAGGGGCTCGACACTCAGGGCTGGGGAGTTGGGGCTCCCAGTGCACAACCCAGCCTGGCTCCCTGGAGCTCAGGACCTGGTGGGGCACATGGCTGGGTATTATCACCTGCCTCTGGATAGGCATGAACAGGCACAGGTGGCAAACTCGTGGCCCATGTGTGTGTAGATGTGTTTAATCTGGCTCAGAGTGTTTCATTATTATCGTTATTAATAATATATTTCATCAATTCTAGAACTCACACTTTGTCACATTTGGACATTCCTGAAATCAGGATGCATCTTAAAATCACTGGCAACTTGCAATGATAATTGACCGTAGTTCTCCTAACACAGTAGCACATAAAATAACCTCATTTTCACAAACAACGACATCTTTGATTCAATGGAATGCAAGAGTTGGCAACTTTTTTATAATCAAGAGGGTTATGTAAAAACTTAGATTCCTGGCTTCTCGTGGGAAACTGGAAGCCCTGTAACACTGGGCAGGCTTTCCTACAGCAGCTTTCAGCGACCCGTGGGTGGTGACTGGCCTTTAGATGGAAGAGGAAGCTTCCAGTTTGTTCCAGTCCCCACTCCGCCCACTGCAGATCAAATGGAACAAATGGAAGGTCTCTGAGTGAGATCCGCCTTCCCCGCGGAGTGACTTCTCCCCACCCAGAAGATAATGGATGAGTGATCGCTGTCTTTCCGTCTGTGCAGGTGCCTCTGGAGAGGTGGTGCCCTCTGGGGAATCAGGTGAGCGTCTGGTTAGGGGAGGAGGGTTGTCAGAGCTGGTGTTGAATGAGATCTGGGTGTCCTCTTTCCTCCAGGAGGGCCAGCTGCTGTCGGGGTGAATGGCTGGGAGACGGGACTCCAGGTCTACTCAGGGGCCTTGGGCTCTGACCTGGCCTCAGCAGGCAGGTGGGGCTGGCTGTGGCATGAGGCAGGGGGCCAGTAGAGATTAGAAAGGAGGTCCAGGCAAGAGGCAAAGGGATTATAAAGAACTATCTATAGATAGAAAGACCTCTTGGGGGCTGGAGAATTCAACAGGGGCATTTTCACAGGTTACCTCTGGTCTCCCCCAGGATGGCAGCGCCTGTTAAGGACCCAAGCTGTCCTGGGCACTAATGTTGAGTTTCTAATTTCCAGGACTCCGAAGGAGAGGCTCTGACCCAGCAAGTGGTAAATACAGAGGCTCCAAGAGGAGAGCGGGAGGTGGCCTGGATTTCAGGGCGTTGGGACGAGACAACAGACAGCCTGGGAGGGTGGGTCAGTCCCAACAGGGATGCTGTCACCAGCCAGAGTGTCACCGTGATTCAGGAAAGCAGCCTCCAGGCTCAGGGGAAATGGAACAGAACAGACTCAGGCCCATGGAGAGAGGAGGGGGTCAGAGAGGGTCCCAAGGACAGCCACCCCCTCCTTCGGAGCTTTGCCCTGACCAGTCCTGCAGTAAGCGCTCTCTGACCCAGGAAAAAGAACCTAAGAGAGCCGTTCTCCGTGAGTCAGGGAAGAGAAAACCCTGCCTGGCATCCCTCGTTGAAGTTAACCCCTTACCTCTCTCTTGTTCCTAAGGAGAAGTGGAGCCCGCTCAGTTAAGAAGGCTGAATATAAAGAAAGACGGTAAGGAAATTGGTGTTCCAAAGCTGCTTCCGCCTGTCTGGTCCGGATTTCTATGGGTAGAAAGTCAGCTGGTAGCCTGGAACAGCAGTAACCATAGCCCACCTCTGTCGTGTGCCCTGGAGTTTGCAAACTCCTCGGCTTAGAATCACCTTGAGAAGGTGATGTAATGATTCCCACTTTGCAGGTTTGGAAACAGAGGCTCAAGGATGGAGACTGGTCTTACAGCTAGTGAGCGGCACAACCTGGGCTTGAACCCTGGTCCTGAGCTCTTTGCGCTAGGCACAGAGTCACTGGGACAATAAATGCCCTCCAGGCCCACGGCCATGAGGAGGAGCTGGGAACGGGTATGGTGAGGAAGCCGTGAGCCGGATAAGAGTACACTCTAGGGAAGGAGCGATGAGAACCACGGGGACCCCTTCCATTCTGGGCCTGGACTGTGGGGGCCTTGGGGAGGAGGCTGAGGCCGGGATGGGAGACCACAGTTTTTGATTAGACAAAGACATTTAAACATTTTGAGTTGTTGCAAAAGCCCACTTGCAGGGAGCGGGAGAGCTGGGCCCCAGCCCTGGTGCCGCCTCTGTCCAGCCGGATGACCAGGACACGCGGTTTAACCCTCCTGGGCTGTGAAATGGGCCTCGTCGGACTAAAACCGAGATTCTCAAAGAGCAGGCCAGTTCCAGGCTGCTTCAGACCACGGCACTACACCCTAAAGAGAGAAGGCGACACCCCTTGCCACTCTTGGTCTCAGAGCATGGTCTCAGCTCGGGGCCCCGCGCCTGTAACAGCACCTGTAATGCCACCTGTAACGCCACTCCAGACACAGAGAGGGGGACCTCCCCGTGGGCAGCATTTTCTGTGGGCCGCACCCATCATCTTGCTTTCCATTCCATGCGTTACTTTTACGACAGGAGATCCTAGTTTTCCATTTATTGTTGTGACATGAAGTTTTCTTTTAAAGTAAATCATTTGAGGAAAAAAGGAATCTGTTCAGAGAAAAATGTTAAGTAAACGTTAGTACCAATGGTCCCTGGATAACCATGGAATTGTGAAGGAGGTCAGCAGTGCTACAAAAACCACAAAGCGGGTGTGGATGGCTGAAGTCTGAGAAAAACCAGACGAGAATGATCCCCCATTCCTCCCGGCTCAGACGTAACCTGGAGTCCTCATTCTGGCCTGATGGCTTCAGCCTCCAGAACCGCCCTAGGTCCCACAGCCCCTCCACTGACCCAGTGGAAGCCTTCACTGTACTGGGTCTATGCCTTGCTCCCACCTCTGGGCCTCGTCTCATGCTGTGCCTCCCACGTAACACGGCACGTAAATGCACACATACGTGTATACACACACCACACACACACACACACACACAAACACATGACACACACACACGCCCTTCCTTCTCATCCAGTCCTACTGCCTTGACTGTCTTTAAGGCTTAGCTCAAACTCTGATTCTTCCATGAAGCCCTCCTGGACTGCCCTAGCTGTGGTGACTCCTGAATTTTCATGGCATCTTCACAGTTGCATAAAATTCCACAGCATGGGTGCTGGCCCGGTGGCGCAGCGGTTAAGTGTGCACGTTCTGCTTCAACAGCCCAGGGTTCGCTGGTTCGGATCCCAGGTGCGGACATGGCACCACTTGGCAAAGCCATGCTGTGGTAGGCGACCCACATATAAGGTAGAGGAAGATGGGCACAGATGGTAGCTCAGGGCCAGTCTTCCTCAGCAAAAAGAGGAGGATTGGCAGCAGTTAGCTCAAGGCTAATCTTCCTAAAAAAAAAATTCCACAGCATGTGTGCATTATGATGTACTTACTGTGCGCCACTTGATAGGCCTTTAGGTAGTTTCTGATTTTTCGCTCTTTCAAACTAAGCTGTCCTGCCTGTCCAGTCTCTATTTGATCACGCATTTTGTTGCCCTGTCTCTCTCTCTTCTTAAAAACACTTGTATTTTCTAAATATTTATTCCTAAGGAAACAGGAGAAAGGATCCTGGGAGAAATTCTCTGTTGGGAATTCATTTTGCATTCCTGAAAGACTGGGTGAGGACAGAGTCTCTGACCTGCCTCGCCCCCAGGCGGTCACATCTCTGAAGAGGCCCAAGCCTGATGCTTTCTTAAATGTGGAGACTAGTTTTGCATAATGTACTTTTTTCCTAAAGGATAAACAGATTTCAGAGCCAAGACATTTTGATTTTTCCCCAGGAAAAAAACAACAGAAACCAAACCAGAAATACCTTCCTCATCTTCCATTCACTTGCCTTCCAAACGCCTCTGACGGCAACGATATGTGGTGTCCCACTGCCCGTCAGCATTCACACAGCACCTTCCCGTCCAGGACCCCCTCGACCTTGTCAGAGGAGAGGAGGGTGCCTCCTGGATTTATCAATGACAACACTGAGGCTCAGAGGGGTCGGGACACTTGTCCAAAGCTTCGCAGCACATCCGTGGTCAACTGGCCTAAACTAGGACAGCTTCTCAACAGCCTTGACACCCACTTGGAGAGCTTGCCTCGTTCCAGGAACTGTCCCTGAGTTGTCCTCTCTTCTTTCTTTTTCTTTTTTTCTTCTTGAAGTCTTGTTTTGCATCTCTTCTAATCACAGTCCCTAGAGTGAGTCAAGGCCCCTGTGTACTCTCCCCTGATGACGCTCACAGTGCCTGGCAAAGGGCTGGGGGCCTCTTTCTCAGCCCACCCCTGAATTCCTGCCCAAGGCACAGGCTCTCCTTCTCCCTCCACTAACTACAAAAACCCCGCGAGCCTGCAATTCCACTTCTGGGTGTCGGGTCCACAGAAATATGCACAGAGATTCATGTGTGGTGACGTTTGGTGCAGTATCAGTGGTAACAGCAAAAAATAGGAAGTTTATGCCATGGAATACTATGCAGCCATCAAAAAGAACAGGGCAGCTCTATACATGCTCTAAGTTGGAAAGATGGCCCCAATCTATCAATGAGAGGAAAAAAGCAAATTACAGAGTAGCAGGTGTATAAACTGGTCCTGCTTTTGCTTTTAAAAATGTGCATATATACACCTGGAAAGGTTTGCCAATCACCACTCAGTTGTTTTTTTTTAAAGATTGGCACCTGAGCTCTTCTTCTTCTCCCCAAGGTCCCCCAGTACATAGTTGTGTATTCTGGTTGCAGGTCCTTCTAGTTGTGCTCCATTCAGTTTTAAGGAGAGGGATTAGGGAGGGAGAGTGGGGCAATGTGAAACTTTTGAACTTGGCACATTTGCATTTTTTACAATTGTAGTTATTCATTTGACAAATAAAGTATTGGGTGCCTCTGGTGCTGCTTTAATCACTGGGCAAAATCCCCACCCACCGTCCTACTGAGGGGGACAGAGAATAAACACAGAAACGAAAATATAGCAGGTTGAGCGGCGATAAATGTTAGAAAAATAAGGAAGCGAGATAAGGGCTGGAAAGGGGTGGGGCTTGGGTGCTATTTTAGTTGGGCAGGTCAGGAGCAGCCTCTCTGAATAAAGTTACATTTGAGCAGAGACGGGAATACTTTTAGTAATTAAAGAGAGAGAGAAAGAAAAAAGCAAACAGTCATTTCCCACCTCTGCCTTTACAGACGAGTTTTTCCATTTCGTCCTCCTCTGCTTTGCCATTGGGGCCTTGCTGGTGTGTTACCACTACTATGCAGGTGAGTCGGGGGCGGGGGGTGCGCATGGGAGGACGGGAGCGGGGGGTTCAGACCTGCAGGCTGACCGTTCTCTCCTCCCTGCCCTTGCAGACTGGTTCATGTCCCTCGGGGTCGGCCTGCTCACCTTCGCCTCCCTGGAGACCGTTGGCATCTACTTTGGGCTGGGTAAGGCCCTGCGCACAGACCCTCGGAGGGCGAGGGCGGGACGGGCTGCAGATGCTCGCTAAGGGCCAGAAAGCCACGACCTAACATCTTGTAAAGATTTCCTTATGCTCCTGTTTTCTTCCTGACCCCTTTCAAGGTCAATGTGAGGTTGTTGGCAAAAGCTGGTGGAAAAAATGGGCAGCTCCACAAAAATGCAACAAAAACATTTGAAAGTGGCAAACAAACAGAATTAGCCAGATACCAAAAACAACTTAGTTACTGGAGTCGGGCACTGAATTCACTGAGTTTCCTGGCTCTGTTATTGCTGTTTGTGGTCATTGTTTTTAATAATAATAATTCTCGTACTATTATCGAAGCTTAGCCTGCTGCCTGAAATTCCACCATTAGAGCCTTGATTGTGGGGTTAGGCCTTTGTCCAAGGGTGGCCGGGGGGAGGTGTGACCCCGGGTCCCCTGATGGGGCACAAAGCTCAACCACCTTTCTCTCCATTTCTGAGCAGTGTACCGGATCCACAGCGTCCTGCAAGGCTTCATCCCCCTCTTTCAGAAACTGAGGCTAATAGGTAACTTTTACGTTCTTCCTGTCTTCCCCCTCTCTTCCTATCAGGGTCTTCTGTTGCGAATGAGCATTGGCAAATGGGAAAGAGCACAGGGCTCGGGGCAGAGGCCTGGGTTCGAGTCCTACCTCTTCCCGTTTACCAGCTCTGGGGCCCAAGAACCTCTTTCAGCCTCAGTTTCCTCAACTGGAAAATGGGTGTAATAATACCTATCGCACAAGTGTGCTTCGAAAATCAAGTGAGGGATGGATGCGAGAGTGCTTAAGTACGAAGGTCTGTGGAAAAGAGCTTTACACTTCCCCGAACACCATCTTCTCAGTGATTTTATTTGCCTAATAGCACCTGGGGGTGGGGGTGGGCTTTAGTTATCTTACACTTGACTGATGGGGAAACTGAGGCTCAGAGAGGTAGAGTGACTTGCCCAGGATCACACCGCAAGAGTGGTGGGGTGGGCTAGAGCAGTTCGTCTTTCTTGACTACCAGCTCTGTGCCTACTATTACAGCCCAAAACTGAGAGGCCAGGGGCTGTGTGTCTCTGTGCCAGGGATTTCTGTCTCCTTTAATCTGTTTCCCTCATAAAGGAGAAATTAGTTGCAATGGCTGTGTGTCATGGAGACCGTGGCTTCTGGGGTGACTGTTATCCCAGCTGGGAGGGGTATTAGGGCATCTAGGGTGATGGTGGGAATGAGGCTTGGCTGCCTTCAGAATCCCATGCCATCCTGCGGGTTTTGCCTTCCAGGGTTCAGGAAGACTGACTGAGGCCAGTGCCGGGAGGGCAGCCAGGCCAGGCCCCAGTGTGACCACCACTGCATTCCCTGAACCCACGAGGACAGAGCAACGTTCTGGGAGACATGCGGCAGGCCAGGCTAGAGCAATAAAGAGAGCATTTTCCTTCCTTGTGGTCTGAACGTTGGCACCAGCCTGGGCCGAGTTATCATTCGGGCAGTGTTGGTATGCAGTTCAGCTGCCAGGACGGAAGGCAGAGGGAGGGTGCGGGGCCTGAGTTCTTCCCGGTACCTGGGCCAACAGGAGGATTCTGGGGCATCACTGCTCCCAGGGGACAGTAGGAGTCCCCTGGGTCCTGCGAGCTGTAATCTGTCTGGGCTCATGGTTCCTCTCAAGTCCCCAGGCCATCCCAGTGTGCTCTCAGGTTCTGCAGAGCCATCCTGGGGCAGACAGGCCACTGCCCTGAGGCAGGGAACCACTATGTCAGGCCCCTGGGGTGAACCTAACCCAGGGGAGCTCTTGGGGACTAAAGCCACAGCATCCAGGTGTCTTCCCGCCACCCCATCACCCACTGCCCAGCCCGCTACCCTGGACCCCGTCAAGATCCAAATAAACGTTCTCTTCACAGGACTAGAAAGAGTCCGCTAAATATTCCTTTAGGTTTCTAGAGCGCGAGAACACATCTGAGGTCTTCTTTGACCCCGTGTGGTCAGGGAGGGCACCTCGTCCTACGGGATAAAGTGTAAAAGGTAATAAACGTAGACGTTTTATGTCCAAGACATCAGCTGTGCAGGTTTGGAACAGGAGACAGGGTTTTGCAAACATTCTTGTGAAAAAGATCTGAAGCTGTTAGGTACCCTCAGCTCAACAAATACCAAGGAAGTGAGATAAGACACAAGACAAGCTTGAGTTGCATTAATGGAGGGGTAGAGTCTAATTGACGGAGGTGATAGTAGGTTCTACTTTACACGGCCAAGGCACACCAATAGCACGTGTTCAGTTCTAGACCCACATGTCAAGAGCAACAATGACAAACTGGAGAACACAGAGAGGAGACCAGAGTGGGATATAAAGAATGGCTGAAGAAATGAGATCTCTTCAACGTGCAGAAGAGAAAAATGGGGGCTTTCATTGAGCTTGTAGACTCCAGAGGAAACTTTCTGAAGTGCTCAGATGGTCCAGGTACAGCCACATATGTGATCTGATTTAATTCCCACAACAGCCTTGAGATGTGTTTGTCATCTTTGTTTTGCAGATGGAGAAAGAGAGACTCAGAGAGGTTTAGTAACTTGTTGAAGTTCCCACAGCAAGTAAGTGGCAGAGCTGCGATTTGAACCCGAGCCTGCCTTCTCCTCAGGCCAGGCAGCCTTCCAGAGCTTGGCTAGTCCCGCCCCGCTCCAGGCAGGGTGTCCCTGAGGCAGCTGCAAGTTTTCCCAGTATTTCCCAGACTTTGAGATTTCTCAGAGTTACAGAATATTTTTTAAGAATCAGAGGAGGGCTGCCAACTCTTTACTTGTCAACTGAGGACAATAAAAATATCTATCAGCATCATTTTATAAAAGAAAGGACAGTTCTGCATCAAAAAAGCAGAGGAATTGTCATCAGAAACAAAATGGGATTGAAAATGAATAAATTAAGCTCTATGAAAATCTTACTATGTGTCCTTTTTTCTCAAATCACTGTGGTCTGGTGAAAAATTTATCTTTCCAAAACCACGAGACTACAGAATTCCAAGGACTTTTACAATCTCTCTTTTCTGGGATTTTCCAGCTCAGCTCCCATAGCTCAGGATGAGAGCCTTCCTACCTCCCAAAGCCACTCTTACTGCCAGAACTTTCTTCCTCTCGTTCTAAGACCCCTCTGTCCGCAAGGCTCGAGGCCGTCTCTCAGAAGAATAGGAGCGCCCCGTGAGAGGGGCCTGCTCTCAACAGTCCCGGCATCGCTCCCTAGCACCCAGGGGCGGCTCGGTCCTGACGCCAAGGCCCGCGGCGCAGGCCTCCAACTCTGTTCCTCTTTCTCAAGATGTTTTTGGCTGCTCTGGGTCCCTTGTATTTTCGTACAAGTTTTAGGATCAGCTTGTCAACTTCTACAAAGAAGCCAGTGGGAATTCTGATGGGATTGCGTGCCTCCCATCAAGTTGAAGAGTCAATTTGAAGAGCATTGTGTTTCTTTTCAGTGATTTATTACCTTTTTTACATTTTTGGTAGAAAAAAAAAAAACTGCCCCAAATCCCAGGACCCAAAATCCACCACGGTTGATATTTTAGCGTGTTTCCCACGAGTCTTTTTAGTGCATGACTTCATTTATTTTTGTTCTGGGCTCCTTTTTCTTTCACATATAATAAGCGTTTTTCCATTACTACTTACTGTCCATAAGCATAGTTTCCAGCCACCGTGTGTATCATGCTTTACATAATAATCCCTCTATATTTAGGTAATGCTATCAAAAGCTTACATTTGTTCAGCACCTCTGACGAGCTGGCTGGGGAGCTAAGCACTGTAGACACATCGTGTCGTTTACTCCTCATCGAACACTGTGCGGTAGCCTGATCCTCTGTCCCTGTCATGATCCTCATTTCACAGACGAGAAAACGAAGACACGGAAAGCTAGTTTCTGAGGTTTTGATGTCAAGCACTTGGCATAACTTGCTTTCTTCAAAAGGGAGCCTGGGCTGCACAGATCAGGTATTTATCCAACGTAGAAATAGAACACAGGCTTTCATGATAGAAATTTGAACCTGCTGCCCTGGGGCGGGGGGGCGGGGAGGGGGGTGCGGTTAGCCTTTTCTAACCCAGCTCCAGTTTCCTTATCTGTACAGTGGGGATCAGAGCAGCACCCGCCTCCCAGTGCCCGGACGAGAATTATGTGAGGTAGTTGCACCGAGTCTTATACACAGTATGTAGCGCGTAGTAGACACTCAGTAAGCGGGAGGTACTTGATTAGAGCAGGGGCACACATCAGCTCCCATAGGGTCAGACAGGCAAAGTCAGCCTGATGCAGAATACTGGGGAACGGGGGAGAGGGCACCAGGAGAGCCAACACCTGACTGAAGGGGGCAGCTGCTGTCCAGCATTGCCAAGCAAGAACACCAGCTGAGTGGTACCAGCCAGGGCCAGCCGGGAAAATGGAACTGCACAGAGACCTACTATAGGAGTCATGTTAAACAGGCAGAGGAGACTGAAGGGCAAGGTATCCCAGAGCCTAAGCCAAGGAAGCAGTTAGCACCTAGGGCGGGGGAACAAAGAAAGAGGTGAGAACCAAGGCGCCTGGAGAGGGCCCTACGGAGCTGAGACCCAGACCCCTGAGGAGGGCACACTGCCTGGAGCGGCTGGTGTCTCTGAGGGGGCCTGATGAGGCTGACTCTAAGGGTGCAGGACCAGCAATATCAGACCTCCGATTTCTCAACAGAAGGCTGAAACCCAGATTTTTTTTTTAATGTTGGCAACTAATTCTAAAAAATTTCAAATGTTGCTATGGAACATGGTATAGTGGTTCCTCAAAAAATTAAAAATAGAATTACCATATGATCCAGCAAGTCTCCTTCTGGGTATAAACCCAAAAGAATTGAAAGCAGGTTCTCAAAGAAATATTTTGCACATCTATATTCATAGCAGCATCATTCACAACAGCCAAAAGGTGGAAGCGACCCAAGTGTTTATCAGTGGATGAACGGATGAACAAATGTGGTCTACACATGCAATGGAGTATTATTCAGCCTTATAAAGGAAGAAAATTCTGACACACACTACCACATGGATGAACCTTGAGGACATTATGCCAAGTGAAATAAGCCAGTCATAAAAGGACAAATATTGTATGATTTCACTCATATGAGGTCCCTACAATAGTCAGATTCACAGAGGCAGAAAGTGGAATGGGGATTGCCCGGGGCTGAGGGCAGGGAGGGTGGGGAGTTGGTGTTTAATGGGGACAGAGTTTCATTGGGAAGATGAAAAAGTTCTGGAGAGGTTGGTGGTGATGGTCATATACCAGTGTGAAAGGACTTAGTGCCACTGAACTGTGCACTTAAAAATGGTTAAGATGGTCAACTTTCTGTTACATGTATTTTACCACAATTAAAAAATATTTCAAATTATTTGTGGTCAAATAAAACTGATTCTGGACTGCATGCCATCTGCTTACATCTACAATGAGGGCCCCCCATAGTGCTAAGCTGGAGACAGGAGCTAAAGGAGGTACACACAGAATGGGTGAGAAAACCAGAGCAAGAACCAGGACGCAATCATTTCTGCTCCACTTTCCAATTTTTGGCTGCCTGACTGCATTGTGGGAACGTGAGTTCATCCCCAGTGCTGCTGGTAACCTTGGCCTGTCTGGGCCCCAGTTGTTACAGGAGGCACGTCAGGTTGTGGGAGCCCTCCGTGCCCTGGGAGAAAGCCCCTAGCCCTCTAGGTCTCAGCGGGGGCCCTGTCTGCCTTAGTGTGCTGCCTCCCTGGGGCCCTGGCCCCCAGCAGTGCTCTGGGCCCTCTCACTGTTCCTCTGCCGAGCTAGAGGTCAAGGCCAGTTCCAGCCCCGGTCTGGTTACACCTCAGGCATCAAGGGATTCCTAGAGCCCCAGTCCAAGGTGTTGTCTAAAAATAAAGTGTTGAATCCTGAGCCCAGGAAGCCGGGATGCAAAGTGGAGGGGCAAGGGGAAGGGAGAGGGCTTGGATGGGGCTGGTGGGGGGCTTCTCTCTCTGACTGCCCTGGACTCTGTGTGCTGGATCTCTGCTGTGATCACAGCGGAGGGAGGACGCAGGGTGAGAGTATTTGGAGGCCGTGTAAGCCAGCTTGCACTGGGAGGAAAGGAGAGAAGCCAAGAGGACTGGGGCAGTTGTTTATTTCGTTCTCCTGACGCAGCCCCAGAAATCCTCTGTCTCCTCCAGAGGACCCAGGCCTGGGTCGGAGACAGAGCCGGGGGATGCTGCTGACTGAATCTGGGAAGCTGGGAAAAGCACTTGACATGGGAGCTGGGCTTTGACAGGGGAGATGTTGGGAAGGGCTTTCCAGGCAGAGGGTGTAGTGTGGGAAAGGCATGGAGGAATGAAAGAGGATAGCACGTCTGCGGGGCGTCAGGTAGTCAGTCCAGTGTGGCTGGGGCATGCAAGCTGTGTGCAGGAGTGAGGATTAGTGGGCTATGGGACACACAGGGTAATTGTCACCTTTCCCCCAGCAGGACCTTGAGAGCTAGGATAAGGAGCTGGGACTTTCGCCTGAGGACACTGGGAAGCCATGGAAGGTATTTGAGCAGAGGAATGGCGTAGTGAGATTGCGTTTTAAAAGGTCCCTCTGGCAGCCCTATGGGGCTGTGGGGGCCATGAGAAGTGCCTCACAGACTCCAACTACAGGGACCGTAATTGACCAAGGGCTGCTGTGCTCTGCGTTTGTGCCGAGGCCACGCTTCCCAAGGGATGCTCCCAGCCGGCAACTTAGCACAAGAGGGATGCTAAAGCAAGCCCATTCCTGGGAGATGCAGGACTCCTCTGACAGCTGACTTTGACTGAGGGCTCCCCGACACCTACCAAACCCTTCCTACACTACCCAGCAGACTAGACCTTTCCACCCAACCCTCCTTCCCTCTCCTCGTCTCCTGGGGCTAGATTTTGCGTCACAGTCTGATGCCTCTCCCA